TATCTCAGATTTTATCTTCAGTGAACAGTAGATGAACACTGGGGTGTTTGTTATTTCTTCCCTTTTTACCCAAGGTGTTATTGACACTTTGTACCCACTGAGATCCTACTGTAGGGTTCCTTTAACTCGTGTCAGAAAACCATGAAATCATATTTTCATTAGATTCTCACTAAAATTGAGTGTGTTCGATTGCAAATGCCAACAGTAACCTACAGTCACATTGGCACTGGGCCCTAATGGCTGGTATAATAAATTTGTTTTGAAAATGTAATGAGTGTAAGTCATGTTTTAGGATAACTGTAAAAACTATATTGTGAAATGACAATATAAATGAAGTCTTTTACTGATTAATCTACAAATTTGAACATTCCTTGATGTGACAAAGTTGAATGACTCAGTCAGAGTTAAACAACTCCTTTAGAACTATTTGATTCTCTCACTTTTGTACTATTCTTTTCCATTATTTCAGTCCCACCTTGATCTTTTAAAAAATTAAACATTTATATAGTTTTCTTCCTCACCTCGCTTTATGAAAAGAATAAATTTTCATAACCAAATAATGAGAATAGCAATAGTTACTGCACTGTGTATTTTTGTAGTTTTATACAGTTAAGATCCATTTTGATTTACCTATAGTTTGACATTGTCTTCCACCCAGATCTTTCTTTTGAGCTTTGCATGCTTGACTCACCTTTTCAGGAGTTTTGCTGATGGGAAATGTTCTCTTCTATAGCTGACAGTGTGTTTATTCATACTCATTCTTGAAAACAAGCTTTGCTTCTTCTGTGGAACTCTAAGTGGGCTGGTGTTCTCTTTCAGTGCTTTGAAAGTAGTAACCCGCTGTCTGCAGGCCATCAAGGACAGGCGATCAATCCGCTGTCAGAATAATTCTGACCTCTTTGTAGATAATTTGTGGGATTTTCTTTTGGTTTGGTTTTTGTGTTTTGGTTTTGGTTTTTGTTTTGTTTTGTTTTGTTTTGTTTTTTACCATTCTTCAAATACCATTTTGCCCTCCTGTTCTCTGTTATCTTCTTCTAGAACTAGAGAAATTTTGGACTTTCTTGATTTACCTTCCACCACTCAATATACTTTTCATATTTTTCATTTCTTTGCTGTCTAACCTGCATTCAATGGAATTTTTCCGTTTCTCAGTTCACAAGTCCTCTTTTCATTTGTATCTAATTTACAGAGTAACTCATCAGCGGGCTTGTTTTAATTGCTAGTTTTTCATATCCAGGAAAAAAAGTAGACAAACAAAATACGTTTGTTTCTTAAATCTTCCCAGTTAGTTTCAGTAGTCTCTCATTCCATTACCATACTTTCCATGCTTTCTTTTATTTCTGTAAAAGTGTTATGCCTATTTATATTGTGCTATATATTTGACTGTCTCAACATCTAAAACCTTAGCTTGTCTGATTTTGTAGTTTTATATTTCTTTTACTTTCAGCCATGGTGGCTAGGTTTCTCCTGTATTTTATGAGTTTTTACTCTTTTATTATGATCCCAGGTTTCTTGGAATTTTATTTTTGTAATTTATTTAAGGAAGATATTTTTGCTTCATGCAGGCTCTTGAGTGCCTGACCTACATGGGGAATATTTCAAATTAAACTTCTGCTGTTTTTTGTTGTTGTACTAGGGATTAAACCAAGATCACATAAGTGTTTGGCAGGCACTCTACCCCCAGCCCCTTTTATTTTATTCTGAGACAGAGTCTTCCTAAGTTGCCTAGGCTAGCCTCAAACTTTTAATCCTCCTGCCTCTGCCTCCTGAAGAGCTATGACTACAAGTACCTGCTACCACAATCAGCTTTCATATTAACCTTTTGGTTTGCATAATTTTTAGGCTAAGCAGAATAGTGTGAGTTCTTTTTACAAACTTTGTCTCGGGTTTACTGGTTTATCATTTTTAGAGAAAAAAATCTCGGAGCCAGCCCCATCACGGAATAAACCAAGCCTAAAATGGGCATCTCTTTGTGTCCATTTTTCATCAAGCTTCTTTTTGGGGAAAAACTTCCTGAACTGCTCAGGTGAGCCCAGGTCACAAGTAAGGGCAACACCAAACTCCACCTGCTACCCTGAAGTGGCTCCCAGCTCTGGGTTTCTGCTTCTGTTTTCTGGGCCACGGAGGACCCATCCATTAGGCAGCCTTGACTAGAAAAATAACCCCATAGGAAACACCAGAAGCACTTTGTCTTTCTGATTCTGGCCTTTAGCTATTTCTCTTACTTTCTCACCAGAGCACGCATCTGTTTTAAAAAAATAATTTCTTACCCCCTCCACAGTTCACCCAGTGTTTTTAGGTGTGGGAAGTTAGGGAAATCACACTCAGCATGCCATGTGCCATGGTACATTCAGAAATCAATTTTTAATAAATACAATTGTTTTCTCCCTAATCTTTATGACTTGCTACCCATAAGCAATTTTAAGCCACTGTACAAACTCCTAGTCTTTCAAAAGAAAAGTTTGGGGTGGGTTTGCAGCATGTTTGGGGAGGTGGATATTTGATACCCATCTCTAAGCATTAGAACCACTGCAATCTGAGGTAACTGGAAGTCATGGAGTTAAATCAATGCCAAGATGCTAACTCATTAACCACAGCCTTCTCCCTGGGCTCTTACCCTTAGGATGTCCCAGAGCCAAAATTTTCATTGACTTGTGGTTGCTTTTTAACAGCTAAACTGATTCTACTTCATTCTAACACAAATCACATGACACTTTGAGTCACATTTTTATGAATGTGATCGAAATGACTGAAATGAAATTGGTTTCCCCCTAGTGACCAGCCCGAGGTAAGCCCACCGACCACCCTCAAGCGCCCACCTGCTTATCCATGGGGCCTGTTCCAGATGACTGTCAGCTTAGTGCCCTCTTGGGCTATATCACTGATTTGTTAATTTACTCAGCTAAAATTTAGTAAGTGTCTACTGTGCACCAGCCTCTATACCAGACATTGGAAATAGGTAGACGACTCAAGTGTGGCCTTGGCCTAGAAAGAATTCACTTTCTCTTGGACATAACAGAAGCATAAATACCAATTCTTTTAAAAACTGTCAAATACTGCAACTGGTATATAAGCATAATTATTTTCCTCATAGTATTTCATTCATAAAGGCTAAGAAACTTTAACCTTTCAGAAGAGCTTAGAATGTGAAGATAAAATGATAAAAGTTGGATTTTTGTCAGGCGTGAAGGATTTTTTTTTTCTGTAGCTTTCACATGTTACTGGGGGCTTCACTGTGAAGATGGAAAGGTGACTCTTTTCTGAGGTGGGAGCTTCTAAGCATAGCCAGCCCTATGCCCCTTGTTTCTCTTCTGCCATCTAGAATACTGTTCACTGGGTAGTTCAGCTCTCAAAGCACCATGCTGTGGCCTGGAAACCTGCATGTGAGTGCCTCTGGGTGGGGCTTTCCTCCTTCCAGTTTTCATAATTGCTGCATTTGATCAGCTCTGTGGCCCTGGGAGTATTTTAAAATTTTTATTACAAGTTAGTAAAATAACTTGCAAGTTGGTATTTATTTTAGAGCATAGAAAAAAGCTTTTAAATGCTATAAAGGCCAATATGGAAGGACTCTGTTGAATTAGGAAATATATTTCTAGGCTACAAGGTACTTCTACTAATCTAAAAATATACTGGTTCTTTCTCTGCACATGTCATCCAATATTTGAAATAAGCGGGAGAGATCAGAGTGTCTGAAATACTAGACAGATGAAGGATGAATGTCTGTAGTGGCTCTTTTAAAATTCCTTCCTGTTAGTTTTCTGTCAACAAAATATCAGAGGCCAGGTTCAGTAATTAATAAACAGTAGGTAGGTATTTGACTTGTGGTTCTGGAGGCTGGGAAATCCAAGAGCATTGCACACACATCCTCTCAGCATCTGGTGAGGGTCTTCTTTCTGCTTTGTAACTTAATGGAGGGCATCACATGGCAAGACAGGGTGAACATGCTATCTTGGGTTTCTCTCTTCTTCTGAAGCCACTAATGCCATCACACATGAGCTTTGGAGTGTTCAGGATGGTATGGCCGTAGACACTAGTGCCATCATGGGAGCCTCATATAACCCTAATTACCACCCTGGTACCATTAACGTATGAATTTGGAAACTAGGTATTCAACACATGAACTTTGGGGGACACATTTAATCCATAGGAGGTGATAAGAGTAAGGGATCATCTAGTCCTCAGTGTCATGAATAATGCTGGCAGACATATTTAAGACATTGCCATTTTATAGATCCTAAAGTAATTCATATTATCATATAATATTATATAAGATATTCTGAAAACCTAAAGACATGAATTTATAATCCCCTATTCTCACACATTTGGCATTTATTTTATTTGCATCTAAGAAATGAGAACTTTCAGAGGGGTTAATTAATGTTTCCAGTGTCACGTACCTGTATATGCCTGGGGGTTGAACCCAAGTAGATGGCTCCAGAGCCCCAGTGGATGCTACCAACTCCTGAAACCTGCTTCTCTGTCATTTCCTTGTTCTTATTCATGTCCCTCTGTAGCAACATTTGACGTTCCCCATTTCCTGGGTGCAAGAAGTAAGGAAAATCAGATATAAACTTTAAGGGCAAAAGTTTGGCAATCACACAGATTCTCCTACTTACCAATGTAAGTTCAAAGTAAATGAAAGCCAGGATGCTCACTCAACACCCAGTGATGTACCTGATAAGAATTGTACATACACATTTATCACCTTGCCCGCACATTACCTGGCTACTAGAAGTTATTGATTACAGTTATGCAAAATAATAGAGTAAAGACTATGTGCTACATAACTGAGCAATCTGTTCCTAGCTTATGGTTATATGCCAGGTACCAAGAACAGAGCAGCCCCTGCATATCCTAAGCTGTCCACACCTGTCAAGTTCATTGATATATGAGTTTTTTGCCTAAAGGCACTTCCATCTTTAAGAATTCTCTGTATGAAAAAACTTCAATTCCGATGATAAATGCTTGTGTTTAAACTCCTGTCATCTTGCTTGACCCAGGCCTACAAAGTAGATGAGAGAGCTGCTGAACAAGCACGCTGGGATGAGGCCTCCAAGGAAACCATCAAGAAAACAACCAAGCCCTGCCCTCGCTGCAGTGTACCAATTGAGAAAAACGGTGAGTGTGGACTGGGCGGGAAAGGCGGAGGTTCTGGGCTCTTCTTGGGAGTGTTAGCTGTCAGGTGGTAGCAGTCAGGGATTCTGGTCAGGTTTTACAATGACATATGAGATTATGCAAGAACGGGCCATCCTTTGAGGCCATACAAGCAAAGTTTGAATCTCAGTTCTTCCATATCAAGTTTCTTCACCTCCTGAGCTCCAGGTCCTCTAAAACTAAAAAACTTTTCCAAAGTTAGCTCTGAAATGCCAGCACACTGGGAGTAGGGATGACGGGAGGAGCTTCTTGGTGTGTTTTTCATGGGAAGCAAATGCCTGACCCTCGGTTCTATGAAGCAGAGATAGTAAGGGAAGCTCGCTGGTGCGGTGGTTGGCAGTAGCACAGGACATCGTGCTCATCAAGACTTAGTCTGGGGCTACCAGAGAAGAAGCACTCAGTAAACATGAGTTGCCCTTATTACTAATGATACTAGACACTTGGTATGTGATTAGTTGTCCACCATCAACAAAAATGTTAGGAAACCTTCCAATACAGGATTTCACAGTGTCCTCCATGAGGCTCTAGTGGACAGAGGTACTCCAGAGGCAAGGGAGGCCACCGTGTCAAACCCAGTTGGCAGGTGACTCCCCACTGCATCCCACTCCCTGGTTGCTAGTACAGCAGAAATAACTTGCTGGTATAGAGCACTTGCTAAGCTGAGTGCCACATCAGGGTCAGAGCATTTCACCCTCACAGAAGCTGCCATGGGAAGCCAGAATCACTACCCCATTCACCCTCTGCACAAGGTCACTAAAGCCATTCCATTTGTAAAGAAACCTGTTTCACTTAATCAACTTATTCCCCCAATTGTTGGACAAGAACTTCTTCAATGTTTGCTATATTTTTAATTTATTTTCCATGTCACACCTGTTAATGCCACTTTGGACACTAATATTCCCTTTGGGCTTTGGTTTCTTTTCCCTACTGTGTGGGAGTCAATGTCCTACATTACTTTGATGCTTGGCTCCATCATTACAATAGCCTTTACATAAGTTCATGGTGCATACCTGTAATCTCAGCAATACAGGAGGCTAAGGCAGGAGGATTACCATAAATTCAAGGCTAGCCTCAGCTATGTAGTGATAATAGTCAAGGCCAGGCTGGACTATTATAGAAAGATCCTGTCTCTGCCTTCTCCTCTAACTTTTAAGAACTTGGAATGGCTACTGGGAAACAATCTCTGAATTAAATGAAATGGCTAGAGTCCAATTCTTCCCAGAGCCACATGTATGTCCTATTTTGCATCAGCAGATTTAGAAACACTGATGTCCATGTTCAAACAGTTCTTCTTAAACTCTACTCTGAACCCCAGGAAGATGTCATTAGAAGGACCCATTGTCCCTTCCCTACCCATGTCATCACATTAACTCAACCTCATCAATGCTGTGGGACTCAAGAGCTCCTAGACTGAATACTTCCCCTCCTACCTCCCGCCTGAAGTCTTCAGGAGAGTGACAGTTGGCTTGGTTCCAGCACAACCTGACGCTCTCGCCATGTCCTCTTCTTGGAGTGCAATTGCAGCCTCTTGAGCATGTGGAAGAATCCCTAAATGTGTTGGTTTAAACTGCAGATTCCTAGGCCTTGATCCCAGCCCAGAATCTACATTTTCAGCTCACACTGAGGACTTCCGGGGGACTCTGAGGCTGGGACCCTGCTTTGGAGAGCATCCATTCACAAGGCACAGACATTCAATATGTACACAGGCTTCTTTTCCTTCCTTGCTTCTCAGCACCAGCATGTTAGTTTCAGACACTGAGAACCACCGAGGACAGCATCTTGGTGCCCCTGGGGATGCGAACTGACTCTCACCTCCAGCCTTGCAGTCTGTAGATTTAAGATATTCCCCTTTGAGCAAGATCCTTCTTTTCCATTCATTATGTCCATATATTGCTTTAACTTTGGGGAGGTTGCAAGGGAATGAGGCCCCATTTGTCCCCTTGTCCCTTATATCTCCTTGGCCTAATGGGCTTCTTGAGTGGGCTGCATTATGATCTGAGGGAACATAGGCTCTGGACTGCCTGGGTTCAAATTTTTCTTGCACCACTGTCATATGTCCTTTCCTCTTATCTCTTAAGCCCATCCCTCATATCTACCCCTCTGCCCTGTCTCCGGGACATGGGGCTGTCTGTGTGCCTTCCACAGTCAGGGTGAAGACTCTGAGACTGAACGAGATTAAGTCCATGAAGGGCTTAGTAGGTGAAGTAAGCCCTCATTAAGTGCTGCCCATCTTCACTATGGCCCTGGGCACACAGAAATATGGAACGAGTGAGCTCCATGGCTGTGTCAGGCAAACAATTAGTGTTCATGTGGCTGGGAAGGGAACAAAGGTAGAAAGCAGAGTCAAAATATTGGACAAAGGGCTGGGGATTTAGCTCAGTGGTTCTGCTGCCTGCCTTGTAAGAGCAATGACCCAAGTTTGATCCCCAGTACCAAAAAAAAAAAAAAAAAAAAAAAAAAAAAAAAAATATTGGACATGACTCAGGATACATAGCTTTCCGTGGTGACTGAAGTATTTCCTTTCTCCCTGGAGACTTTCCCTGCTCTGCAGTCTGTACCATATGATCAAGTTCCCCATAGGCCACCAACATATAACCATCCCCAGCTCTGCAGCATTATTAGAAACTAAACTCTAGTCTAGTGGTGGTGAACCTATGACATGCGCGTTCTTGTGTTTTTCTTTTGGGACAAAAGATGTTAATGTAGAATTGCTTTTCTAAAAACTAAAACCTCAGTATTCTGGTTTAATAGCAGTGTTGGCTCTTTGTGATACATCAGTGACTTTTGAGATACTGATTGGCACTCAGTCTCTAAAAGGTTTGCCATCACTAGTCTGTGCTTAAGGTGTTCCTTTGGCCAACCCATTCACCTGACTCTTCCACCTTGGACAATCTGGGGCACTTGCCGTTGTCTCTCCTGGCCATACCTCCTGCTTAAAGCAACCAGTGCTCACAATCAATGCTCACAGGGCCCTTTCCAGATGTGAAATGCTTGTACACCATGAGGCAGAACCAGCAGCATATCACAGATAAGAAACACATCACAGTACCAGGCTTTTCCCATCACCTCTGAACTGTACCCTGGTCAGAAGGTTACTAAAAGAAAGCCCCAGTGCCAGCTCTCTTTCTTCAGGGATATATTTGAGAAAAATCCCCATCAAAACAAACAAGATTGCACTGACATATCCCCAAGCATCAGGAGTGGGCCAGGCTCAGCCTATATCCCTAACTCTGAGTCAGTGGTCTCCTTGGTCTCCTTGGAGTACTACTCAGCCATAAAGAAGGAAAATTTTGAGTTGTTTGTAGGAAAACAGATGAATCTTGAGACCATAATGCTAAATGAAATAAATTGGACAAGAAGGTTAAATTTCACATGGTTTCTCTTATGTGAGAAACCCAAATAATTTGAAGAATGAAATACAAGAAAGATAGTAGAAAATAAGAAGCTAGACTTTATAAAAAGTGAGGAGTAAAAATGATCAAGATGTGATATGTATATGTGCCAGTTCCCCAAAATGAATGTGATTATGTATTACAAACATAATAATAGATTTAAGAAGGAAGAAAAAGTTGGTTTCTTTTTTTTTAAATTGAATTTATTGGTACATTTTAGAGATACAGTACAGTTACATTCATTGTTGGGATCTTGTACCTCTGCATGACAGGTCTTGGTTCTCATTTTTTCCCCTTGTCCCTGCCCTCCCTTCACCCCTCCTCCCCTCCCCATTTACAAACACTTTATTTCCATCTTTTCATTTTCTCACATTTTTTCTTTTCCCTTATTACCCTTCCCCTACACATCCCACCTTCCCTACACCTTTAGACCTTTTCTTTACATTTCACAATGCCAGTTATCTCATTAGGATCTTATGTACTATTACAGTTTATCCACACCAGAGAAACTATTTGGTATTTACACATGTGTGACTTATTTATTTCACTTAGATTTTCTCACAGTTTCTTTTCCCTTATTACCCTTCCCCTACACATCCCACCTTCCCTACACCTTTAGACCTTTTCTTTACATTTCACAATGCCAGTTATCTCATTAGGATCTTATGTACTATTACAGTTTATCCACACCAGAGAAACTATTTGGTATTTACACATGTGTGACTTATTTATTTCACTTAGGAGTATATCCTCAATATGTATCCATTTTCCTATGAATGAATCTAATTTCTCGTTCTTTAGTCTGAGTAATATTCCATTTTATAGAAAATCCACATCTTCTTTATCCAGTTTCCAACTGAAGGGCAAATGGGCTGTTTTCAAGTTTTAGCTGTTACAGACTGTGTCGCTATAAACATGGGTGTGCATATATCACTGTGGTATGATTCTTTTAATTCTTTTGGAAAGATACCCAGCAGAGGGATGCCTGGGTCAAATGAAACCTCTAGTCCCAGCTCTTTGAGGTATCTTCATATTGATTTCCACGGTGGTTGCACCAGTCTGCAATCCCACCAACAATGGAGAAGAGTTCCTTTCTCCCCACAATGCCAACATTTGTCATTGTGCGATTTCTTGATAGCAGCCATTCTTTGTGGGGTGAGGTGGAATCTCAGTGTTGTTTTTTTAATACATTATTCTATGCTCTTCTGGCCTGCAGAGTTTCTGTTGAGAAACCTGCTTTAAAAATAAACTCTCTTGGAGAAAAAATAATTTACCTATGAGCCCTGTTACTGCTTCACATAGCCATATGCTCTAGGACTACAGTGGGCTATCAAGCATCAGGGGAGAGCAGAAGGTGCCATTGGGGTTCATCCAGTCCTGCCTGCCACTTCCAGCCCCAGAGTGGTTCATTGGCAAAAGGAGGGGAAGAAGAGCTGAGGGCCTTTTCCGGGAGGCTGTGTTGCCTCTTGATGAGCAGGAGCCAGAGGTCCACTGCACCAGGATTTAAAACACGCAAATTAAATGATGAGAGACCATTCTGGTAGCGTGGAAGGTTTCCAATTTGAGTGTTTG